TCTGTGAACTATGATCATTCGAGACACGATTTGATGGCTTCGGCACTGGATTGACATTCTGATATCCGAAAATATCATTCTCCTCATCAGAATCGCTGTCATACTTTCTTGGATCATCAGAAAGATCCATGCAAGAATCATGAGAGTTCAAGTGATCCACAGAAGGGTCAAGGACTAGATTGACATGTTCATCATTGGAATTACAATTAATTTCATCCTCGACGATATCTCCCGACTCATCGAAGACATTGGGTTTAGAATTCAAGCTATTCACATCACAATCACTGTCATTTTCCTCATCACTAGAAATATTCCCATCTGCTTTCCTTTCATCATCACCGCTTTCAGACTCGCCAGAGACATTTCTATTGACCTTCTTGAATTCGGATACAGTTCTCCCGCCGTTATTATGTGACCTTTTAGAGTACTTCCGGTTCGGGTATCTTTTTGCGTCTTTTCCGTCGTTGATTGATTTGATTTGCAAACTCCTCGACAGTGAAATCAAGAACTTTTCGCGAATATTCAGAACTTCTTGGCATTTTTTCGTTGGCAGTGTACTGAGTACAGCGAAGCTAAAAAAAAAACATACTCCAGTATGAAACGCAATTCAAACATACACATGTGAGCAAGTGATAGCAGGTTTTGAAGCACACTTGGGATCCTTGCATTCGATATTTGTTTCGGTCGTTTTCACAACAAAAAACGATTTGTCATCTTTCTCCACAAGATACTGACCGGATTTATGGTAGATTACGTTCTTATTGAAGACTTCTCCAATTTTCATCTGTTTCGGCACACTTCTCCATACGGTTTTCGGCATTTCAAACACATGAGATAACGAAAAAGTACGAAATCCATGTTTTTGCAAAGCTTTAACTTGACTTTGTGCTGACAAAATTCCGGTTTTTTTGAAATTCGCGTATCGGATCAGCTCGCTCTTTTCAGTCAAAATCGACTTGCAAAATTCCTTTTTCTCATCTATAAAACATATCCAACTTTAGATGTTTTTACAGTCAACCCTACCCTCGATAAATTCCAACAGCTTATCCAAGCAAGTGCGTCCATTTAGTTTTCGTGGAATCGCAATTTTGATTCGTGAATTAAGGTTCTCAATTCGATTCGTAGATGCATAGTTTAGAAGCAGCCCAGCCATCAGACGAGATCGGAGAGAATGGGTTGAAAAGAGATCTTCTTTTCTATCGAGCAACCACTTCTTTAGAGCCGGCGCAAAATTACACTTGACAATCTCCGCTTCCATCGCTTCTGAACTCATTACATTGAAAATTCCATTTTCAACTTCATCTCCAATCTGTCTTCCGAAAATTTTGTTCAAATCTGACTGGCTTATATTCTTTTTACTTTGAATGAATGTCAAGTTGTTTCGACGATGTACTAGACACCTGAGAACTTGAGTGTCTTCCAAATATTTCATCTGAAAGAAACATGAGACTACACAAATTTAAAGTTTTCTATACCTTGCTGTAATATTTAAAAGATTCTTCGCCGTCTGTCATCAGTGATGGAATTGATTTTTTTCGCATAGGATCAACTTGCAGGAAGAAATCGTCAATTTCGCGAGCAAAACTCTTGTGATTTAGTGCATTTTTCGACGAGGAAATCATGAATCCTAAAAGAACATGGCGAATTTTTCCGCTGCAGCGCGATGTGAAGTCTCCTATATCTCCAGAGATTGTTGTCACAACACAATCTGACAAATCAAAAGTGCTATCAATCTGTAACTGTCCAGCCATATGCTTAATAATCCCACTATTTGCTGTCGGACTGTAACAAGATAAAAAATCATTGACTTCTTCTGAAGTCCAATCTTCGCATCCAGTTAAAAGCTTTCTATATTCCAGTACAGTTTGTTTTGTCGGTAGACTATTCATATAAAGATTCAGTGTGTCCGAATCGAGATAAATCGCTCCAAACTGGTTATCTAAAATGAAAAAATTATATTTTCAAAAAAACGTTCCTGTTTACCACTAGAAAATAGACGGAAGCCATTTTCTGTTCCAAAAGATGCGAGTGATTCTGGTGTTGTCACGCTCACGCGGCCCCTCTTCGACTTCACACAATCCGGCTGATACTTCATCTGGTTTCTGATTTGGCGGGTACTGAAATTAAGGGCTCCTGATTTTAGATCTTCGAAAGCTCCTTTCACAGTTCTTCCTTTCAGGGACCGATGAATCAATTGACACTCTGCTTCTGAATATTTGAATTTTATATAAACGCTTTTATTAGAGCAAAGTTGTTCTTACCAGTTAGTCTGTTAGGTTTTGATGATTTCAGAACATCGTAGTCCATTCGACCATTTTGAGACACGTATACTACGAAAACGAACTCTTCCTTCTCCGGATAAATCTCAAATTTTTTGAAAGCATCATCATTAGGATTGATGCAATTGTAATATCTGTAAGAGCATCCATCGTATTCGATCTTTCTGGGTCTCGGACGGATTTTTCTACCTGAAAAGAAAATAATAAAAATGAATTGAAAGTCAGCTGATCCTACCATTCGTTGTTTTCCACCAAGACAGTCCATCACAAAGTTTATGATCTTCGTTTCGAAATTTTGCGAATTTCACTGACGGTTCCGAAAACACTGGCAAACGAAAATCGGTGAGATTTGACGATGTCACACTGAAACAGATAACTTGGTTTTAAAATTAAATTTTCTTTTTCAACTGACCAGTTTTCAATGATATCTTTCATCGTTTTAACTGAAAATTTGTTCGAATAGGGACCTGTTCTCCATATGCCATCCTCATCCAAATCAAGCGAAAATTCTTTTATTGGTTCTCCTTTGGCAGATATTTTCGTTTTTTCTGGTTCATTTTGGCCGTCACTCGACATTTTAATTTCAGAATCACTCTCGTCCATTTTGAGATTTTTGTAAAATCACAAAAACGTTCTGAAAAAAAGATGAAAAACGAAAAAATAGGACAATTGGTAGTTCAAAAATACGTCATCGATTACGTCATATGACGTCATCGATTACGTCATATGACGTTATCGATTACGTCATACGAAAAATGAGTCTAGGACTGAAAATGGTGACCAGAACTACTGTGATAACCAAAAATTCATAATCTTCCACAAATTTCTGCAAAAAAAAAATACGAAAAACAGTCAAAAATCGTTGAAAATCGAGAAAATAGGAGGAAAAATAGAAAACATTGCCTTCGTAAATCGACAACGGCCCCTGGCCTAGAAAATTCCGGAAACTCTTCCATGAGAATTTCGAGCAATTTTTTGGGATTCAAACACAGAACTCACAGTAAAAGACACATTTTCGAGAAAAAAAAGCAAATTTCTTATATAAAAAATTGTTTTAAACACTGACAGATAAAGTACAGAAGTGAGCGATTGGAAACGACGATGGAATCAGCTGAAATCAAAATCCTGGCCTAAAAATAATTTTTTTCAGACAAAAATCCCTTAATTTCCGATTTATTTCTGATTTCGGAAGACAAATAATAGGTTTTTTTTCATAGTTTTGCTGTCAGAATTCGGAATTCATGCCTTTTCATTGGTTTTTCCTTCATCTCTACAAAGTTTTGTAAACTACAGAAGTGAAAAAAAAACTAAATGAAATCTAACAGAAAAATTTCAGTGCCGAATTGAATTTTAAATTACGTTGTGTCCACTTTCAGATATAGTCGTGGGAAATCTTCCGGAAGTTGTTTTTTCTCAACCTCTTTCACTTTCTTCCTGCTTTAGAAACCACCGAATATGTACGGGTTGCGGTTGAGAAGGGAAACTGGGTGAATTGGTGTAGTGGTGCGCGTGGGTGCACGAAAAACTGAAGTCGCGAGTTCAATCTCGACCAGATCCGAACTTTTTGTTTTTGTGCAACTACCTAGATGTACCCCTTCAGACTGCGTACCCACTCAGTCAATGTACCCCTTGAGCATGATGTACCCTATTTCGATGTACCCCTGGAGAATGGACCGAAATTCTGTCCGAGTTTCTGAGATTTTGAAGTGCTGAAAATCTGAAATTCTCAGACTGTGAAGTTCCGAAATTCTCAGGTTCCGAAATACTGAAATTCCAAAGTTCTGAAATTCAGGAATTCAGAAACTCCCTCAAAAAAAATTGTACCCCCGAATCACAAGCGTTGTACCCCTAAATGAAATGAGTTGTACCCCAGAATCATTGGTAGTTTGTACCCCCGAATCGTTGTACCCCCGAATCGTTGTACCCCCGAATTTTTGTACCCACGAATTTTTTACCCCCGAATCATCAATTTTGTACCCCTAAATCAGTTGTACCCCCTTGTACCCCCGAATCATTGTACCCCCCGAATTTTTGGCCAAAAAAAAGGGATGATCAATTCTCTTTCCTTCTCGATCTGAAGTTTCTCGAGTTCCTCTTTTGTCAAGCTCATCTCTTTGATCTGAAACAATAATTACAAAAATTTTGTAAACTTTTGTTTTCATTCTTACCTTCTTCTCGATATATTTAGCCTTGGCGTTTACGTCCACTTTTTCAGTGGAGACGTCAACGTTGATCTTCTGAAAGAATGACATTTTACTAGTATAAGACAAATAGAGGAAAATCACGGTGGGCAACGGCAAGTTGGATGCTTCCGAGATTGGCACGGATGTTTTGGAAATCATCGGTTGGCTGAGGAGTGGAGTTCATGGTCATACAAATCTGTAAGTATATTGTAAGGAGAGATCTGTAAGTATATTACAGATTTAAATGTTCAAAAGGGAATTCAAACCGGAAGAGATGTGAACATTTTTGAATTGCCGCGCTTTTAAATATGACTCTCTCTCTCTCTCTCTCTCTCTCTCTCTCTCTCTCTCATTAAATATATCTATTGCGATACTAGAAAGAGAGAGAGAGAGAGAGAGAGAGAGAGAGAGAGAGAGAGAGAGAGAGAACCCAGTCACATGAAGGAAAAAGAAATCACAAAATCATAGCTATCAAAAAGAATGAGTGAGTCATCCAGGCTAGATTCTAGAGAATTTTATGTTGCGCTGCGTATGCGTCGCGATCCGAAAAATGACTTATTACAGTTTCCTTGACAAGTTCCAATTCTTCTGAATGGCCCTGACTGGAAATACAGTCGGTTTGCGTCCCTCCGGGGCTGAACCTCCTGGGCTCCGCTTACAGTACCCGTCATCTTATAAGGGTGATAATGGAGGGCGAGAGGGAAAAGGGAAGGAAATCCCACACAGGTGTACGCTATTTTTACTTTAAAATCACGGGTACTGAAACTGGAGACGAGGAATTGCTGCGTCTCAACCTTTTTTCTCAGACAGCGATAATATTAAAAAATTAATTCCCAAATTACTCACCATCCGAATATTTGCCAATTTTGCAACTTTAGAATGAATATTTATAGAATTTTAACGAAAAATCAAGAATATAGTGGCCTCCATGCAGACGGTGACCTGTAGATGTCCTTAAGGGAATCAGAAATGAAGTGGATAGAGAATTAGCGCTCTCTTTTATACACCCCTTTTGCTAGACTCCGCCCATATGTCCCGAGGGACACATGAGTCATGAGAGATTTGAAGATGTTTGATCTCTAGGACACATGGGCGGAGTCTATAGTATAGTGGTTCTGTCGTTCACCGCACGGCATCATTCAAAGCTGAGTAAGAGGGGGAAATGACTAATAATACAAAGGAAAAATCTTTCAGCACAAAATGTCTATTCTTACTCATCACGTTCTTACCGACTTAAGGTGACAAAAAAATATAAAAGCAAACCTGATATCTTCCTTATATATAAAACGCTACACGCTTCTCTTGGTCCTCCTGTCAATCTGTGGACTTTGGAAAATTTTGAAAAATAAGTATAGATTTATGTGACCCTTTAACAAAATGAGGAGCAAAATGACGAACCAATCAAAACTAGGTCAAATCGCGCCGAAGGCGCACTGGTCAGCTGTTTGAAGCGTCGGAGGCCCGGCAAATAGATGACTCATCTTAAAACAAACATCAAAGTATTCATTCATATTGAAAAATTTATAAAGTTTATTACTGACAATAAATAGATCAAATTAATCATAATCATCAGGAATATTAAGGAAAGTACCAAGCGATGGAAAGTGCACAGCACTAAATCCATCGGTTCCTCCAACGCCAGCAGCCGGAACGGCGAAATGAGCGCCCCATGTCAATTGCCCCTGCAACCAATCGACACCAACAGAGTATGGATGGTAGTAGTACTTGTTTGCATGGTCCCTGTTATGTGGGTCGTCTGGATTGGGCTCCCAAAGTCCTGGTTTTGTGAATGGAGAACGACTCCTGGGACGATGGAGAATTCCTCGAGAGTCGGTCAATGTGTTGTATTGAGCCAGGGCGTTTGAGAAGACACTATCCGAATAGACAGGTACCGCCTCGCCACCGGTGGTCTTTTTTGAGCGAGGAAGGTCGGGTGGTTTAGTGTCAGTTGATGGATCTTTGATTACTTGATCTCTGAAAAAAATTTTGGATGTTTTGGGTTTTTTCATCTCTGGGAATTTTCAATTCTTCAAAATGTTGGATTTTCCGAGTTTTAGATATTTAGATTTCTCGAAAATTGGAATCTTGGGTTTTCAGATTTTTGGATTTTTGGAAATTCTCGGTTTTTTGAAATTTTTACGTTTTTGAGTTTGTGAAATTTTCGGACTTTTGGATTTCTGAACCTTTCAAATTTTTAGATTTTCCAAAAGGTTTCGAAAATTCGAAAAACCTAAAAATCGATGGTTTCAAAAATTTTAATATTCTGAAAATTCAAAAATCTGAACATTCGAAAAATCTAAAAATTCCAAAAACCCGCGAATCAAAGATTTCCAAAATTTTCAAAATTTTTTGGAATCCGAAATCTTGGAATTTTTGAAATTTTTCGAAAATTGGGAGTTCCAAAAAAATTCCAAAGTCCAAGATTTGAAAAATTCTGAGTATCCAAAAGTCCATAAACCGGAGATTTCGAAAAATCTAAGAATTTGAAAAATCTAAACATTTCGTAAAATATCAAACATTTCCAAATTCCAGAAAAAAAAAGAAAAATTCCAGATTAAGAGAAATTCAAATTTTGGATTTTTAGATTTTTCAGAATTTTCACTCACTTTGCTTGTACATGTGGTGGTAGTTTTGGTGCAGCTACTAGATGAACCATTGTTCCGTTTTTCAGTTTCACCATTTTATCTTGCTGGGTTTCCAAAGAATTCTGCAGTGATGGGATGGTGGGATTTTGAATTATCCTGTCTTTTGAAGCATTCGAAGAATTCGAACTATCCCAATTATCCACAATATTCCCCTCTGAATATCCAATGAAGTCTGTACTATTGTCCATTGGCCAAAGAACCATATCCACCGTATCCCTTCGGAATCTTGCAGGTTTATAAGGCAACGTCTCTCCAGAAGGTGCCAATAATTGGAAAGTGGTCTGTGTTTTTGGTCCTTCAAGAACTTTTCCTTTTTCTGCTTTCGAGTAGATGAACTGGGATGCATAATGATATTGCTCATATTTCGGACATCCGTAGTACCATAGCCTGCATGTGTTCAAGAACATTGGTAGAGGCGGAGGATTACAGAATTTCTGCACTGCTGGGTAGTCGTAATCACATTTGCATTGCTGCGAAATTCGAGTTTAGTTTTGTATTATTAAGTTTCAGGCCATTTCAAGGCCATTCACCATGGTGACCGAGAAATCTCAACTTACAAAAGTTAGGGAGCCGTGTTAAAATAGCCTAGAAAACATACCAGGTCAATATCAGGTCATTTCTAGGCCGTAAAAGTTGGTAGCCTAAAAAACTCAAATTGCAAAAGTTAGGCCACCAAATAAAAATGACCTATAACACATGGCAGATTAATATCAGATCATCAATTCTAGGCCCATTACAATGTTGTCCTAGAAACTGGCAAAAACTAGGCCACTATGTTAAAATAGCCTAGAAAGCCACCGGGTGATTATCAGATCGTTTCTAGGTCATAAAAGTTGGTGGCCTAGAAAGCTCAATTTGCAAAAGTTAGGCTACCATGTCGAAAAGGCCTAGAAAACATACCAGGTTAATATCAGGTCAGTTCTAGGCCATAAAAGTTAGTGGCCTAGAAAACTCAACTTGCAAAAGTTAGGCCACTATGTTAAAACAGCCTAGAAATCCACTACGTAAATATCAGACCATTTCTAGACCATAGAATTTAATGGCCTAGAAAATCCAACTTGCAAAATTTAGGCCACTATGTTAAACTGACCTAGAAAGCATATCAGGTTAATATCATGCCATTTCTAGGCTATAAAAGTTGGTGGCCTAGAAAACTCAACTTGCAAAAGTTAGGCCATTATGTTCAAATATGATATCACTTACTTTTGTGCAATGCGGGAAAATTCGTTCATCGCAATCAATCGAGCAAGGTCGCAATTTTTTGATTTTTTTGCCTCTCCTTCTTGAAGATTTTGATTTTCCGGCGCTCTGCAACTTATTTTGCTCTTAAAAGTCATATTCTCATGTCTAATACCGGATGCTCTACGTCTGGAAAATCGGATGTACTGGCACTTGAAACTGGAGTTTGGCCTTTAGATGGGGAGAATGGATTCGATGGTTTTCTGAAGAATTCAAAAGACGTAAGGCTTCAAATTAGAGTACATACCGTAAAACCTGTATTAGATAGGCCCCACTAATAGAAGGGCTCTTCGGAGGTACCTTTGAACAATAGAAGGTCCGGCCCTTCTAATACAGGTTTTACGGTAATAGCGAAACTTACTGATTTGCTGTAACACAAGCTTTTTTGTAGGATGGACAGAATTTTGTGAAAATTTCAGCATTTTCAATTGTTCCTCTGGAAAGCACTTCTGTGAATAGGATTTCGCATTCTCAACTTACTTGCAATAATATTCATAATTAACACTGAACTTTTCACAGTATTCTTTTTTCGTTCCCTTATATAAATAAGTTTTATCTTCTGATGACGTCGAATCTGAAGTCTCGCTATCACGATCATTTCCCAAAAATGACCCGGATTGTTTGAGTCTGAAAGAAGACATTTTGGGAAAATAGGAAATTCAAATTCAATAAAAAATAAGAAATCACATGGAGCATGCCTAATAGAGTGCCACCCAACCCATCAACTTTGAGCTCAATTATCTCGGTTTCTGTGAATGATGTCAAAAAGTAGTCAACTGATAAAATGTTTAACATATTATCAACAAAGTTTTATCAGTTGATAACTTTTTGATATCTTATGTAGGAATCCAGATATATGAGCTTAAAGTACAAATATTCCAATTTGACGTTGGTCCCTTATCACCCCTATAAATGTCGGCTTAGTTATCTCAGTCCATAGAAAAAATAAAAAAAAGGGNCNNNTTTTAAAAATNTTCAATTTTCATCCCCAATCACTTCAATTTCCAAAATTTCCTGGAAGTTTCAGTAAAATCACGTGAATTTCCAAAATCCCAGAACTCGAACCGTTCGAGTTCTGTGAAAAATCCCAGAAATTGCAACGTTCAATTTCTGTGAATCACGTAAAATTTCCAAATTCCCAGAAATTTTGGAAATCGAAGTGATTTGGGATGAAAATTGAAAATTTTGAAAATCGCTCCTTCTTATATCAAAAAATAGTCAACTAATAAAATATTTTTGATATTATGATAAACATTTTATAAATTGATTTTTTCTTGATATCTCATACAGGAACTGAGATATTTAGGCTCAAAGCCACCAATGCTTTTCTGACGTCCCCTTCTTTTTAGGGTACGCCAAAGAAGCTTCATTCACTTTAAGCCTACTTATATCGGTTTTGGTTAATAATATCAAAGATGTGTTTACTAATAAAATGTTTGTCATAACATCAAAAATATTTTATCAGTTGACATATTTTTGGTATCTTTCACAGGAACCGAGATATATGGGCTCAAAGTTAGGTACATTCAATTGCCATGACTTACGAAACTCGATCCGGACAGTTTCTCTTATAGGAGTCGCAAAACTTTTTGTGTTCTGGAGCCATGTCTCCAACGCAATAAAAGTTATAATTTTCAATGTAATTAGTACAGTATACCGTCACTTCATCAGTTCCAGCACCTTGAGCTTCTACAACTGATTCCTCGTTTTCTTGAGAAACTTTTTCAGACAACGTCAGATTTTTTTGGTGTTCCTCAAACTCGGCAGGCGTTTCTCTGGAAATTTAAAAATATACGTCATCTGGCTCGGTGGCCTAACTTTCACAACACGTATTTTTTAGGCCACCAACGTTTTTTGTCTAGAATTGGGGAAACATGCACCTTCTTTGTTTTATAGGTCATTTTAACGTGGTGGCCTATCTTTAACAAGTTGAGTTTCCTAGGCCACTATGTTAAAATGGCCTAGAAACCCACCGGATGATTATCAGGTCATTTCTAGGCCATAAAAGTTGGTGGCCTAGAAAACTCAACTAGTAAAAGTTAGTCCACCATGAATCTCACAATGAATCCGCATCGTCATCGACTACGCTTCTCGTTGTATCAGCATCCACTTTTTCCAAATTTCCGCATAATTCTCGATATTTTTTACAGAAAACTTCTGGAAGGAATCCTTCTTTCTCACATTCCTTTTTGTATTTTTCAGCATTTCCTTCGCAATAGTTCAGTTTTGGCTCTGTAGTCGTAGTTGAGAAAAATGGTTTCGGTGTTGGGAATACTCTAGAAACACAAAATTAGCCGACCTTCATCCGACCGAGCTGACCGATCGCTCAGCTTCACTCACTCTTCCGGTTTCCCGCTTTCTGTTATTTTTTCAACCTTGCCCGCCACATTACAATTTTTCATATAACTTTCACAAAAATGCGTCAGCAACCCTTCTAACTTTTCCAACTGTGCTCCACTGCTACAGTAAGATTTGAAATTGTCAGCATAGCGAGTACAGTAATCGGGAATACTGTAGGCTTTTTTCCTTGTGGTTTCCAACTCATCAACGTCTTCTATGACCTCCAGACATTGAACTTGAGCTAGAAAAGTGAGAAATTGCCTTTCAAACTGATAACTTTGAGATCAATTATCTCGGTTTCTGTGGAAGATATCACAAAGTGATTAACTAATAAAATACTGCTAATATTATGATAAACATTTTATCAGTTGACAAATTTTTTATATCTTTTACAAAAAATCAGATATATGGGTTCAAAGTTGATGGTAAAAGTTACCTGTTATAAAAATTACAACACAAATGAGAAGAAGGAGTTTCATGGGAGTACAAAAAAGAGAATAGAAGAAAATTAGAAAACTAGAAAAAAAGAAGACAGAGGGGCGTCTGTTTTTTTGTGACACATATTTATATGTAGTCGTCAAGGATTCAGAAGAAGAAGAAGACACGAATCCAAATCAGTTGGGGGTATTCCTTTTTTTGGGTGAAAGTGTACCCCAAAAATAATGTGATGTCAGAATAATAAAAGAGAAGAGATATAGTTTGGAAGCAGTTGGTTCCACTTTTGGCATGTTTTTTTGCCTTTTTTCTAGTGTTTCGGTATAATTCTCGTTTGGTAATCGTTGTCTTGTACCGTGCAATTCTAAGTGCCATCAAATTCTTGACATGATACATTATGATAACTTTGAAATAAATTGATCCAATTAAAAAACGGAGAACAATTGCCGTTTTGTTTAAAGTGAGAGTTAGCATTGTATACTGTAGATTCGGCTCTCATGGGTTACACTAATTTTTTAATTATTATTTTCAGTTTTTTAAGTTCAGATTCCTCAATTTCTTTTCAGATCCTTGTTTGATTGGGTCCTCTCAACTGGAACAAAGCCGATAATTGGGCTCCTTAAAGGTGGGGGGACAGGAGATTTTTCGTAGTTTTTTTGTAGCTAGAGTATGCATTCTACCGTCACGGTGTACAACGCTTAATGTCACTCTGCGTACAGATGTCCTCCTCGCCTTTATGTATGCAATCGGGCGTGCGCTTTCTGTTTGCCCGCGTGGCTCAGTCGGTAGCGGCGCTGCACCCTCAATCATCGCCCTCACAAGTTCAACTCCTCGAGGGGCATCTTTGAACGGAATTTCGAGAACATTATTTTTTTCATGTCCCCCCACCTTTAAGCTTGTATTTCAAAGATTGCCGCTTTTTTAGATCTACATGATTTATTAAACGATAGATATAATACAGTAGATCGGTTTTTATGCTGGTTAAAGTGTGAAAGAATATAATAAAGAAAAGTCATTATGGTATGTGCATCACGGGAGCGGCAATGCACGTACCACAATGAATCACCGTCAGAAAAGAGAAAGAGAAAAAAAGAAAACCAACAGCCTTGTCTCCTATTCCCCATCTTCATTCCTCTACTTTACTCACCAAATGGCTGGTATCAGATTTTCCACCGGCCCTCAAATTTCTCTGATTTTTTTTCAAAATTCCCATACTTCAAAACGATCTGTATATTTTCTATTTTTCTGAATATTTCAATATACATATTTTGCTAGCTTTCTTGTGAACAGTAAGTGTGATTTTAGCATTGCTATAATTGTTTAATCAACCAAGTTTCAGAACACAAGATCTTATAAGGAGATTTGGCAGGCTTCCGGAGAACACCGAATCCAGCATATGGTGCATCGACGAATCCGAACAAAGTTGGAAATAAAACGCCCCGTGTGGCAGGAATCTTCACTGAATCCAGCATACTCTTTAGTAAGTCTTTATTAGGCATTTAGTTATTCTAGGATTCACATAAGTGTGCTTTAGTCTCCTCTAGACTTTGACACACGAGGATTCACAAATCACACGAAGAGAAAAATCTTAGTTTCTGTCCAGGACAAATAGGCTCTTAATGAAAAAATTGAAATCTCTAAACCCTTCTTATTTCCAACAGACTCGAACTCGAATATTTCCAGATCGACTCGGTTTTCCATCCAAGGAACGGCCAGGAGTTATGTCAGGAATTTTGTGGCCGCCGGGAGTGTTGTGACCGACGAACCCCTGTCGAGGTCAGGACGAGGGCGTGGAGCCGAATAGTGTAAAGGAAGGATGAAGGAGGGTTCATGTTTAAGTATTTGGCTACCCCTTTGAGAATTACTTCTTGTCAACGTGTTTCGTTGATGTCATCGAGATTCGTCATCCAAACATAAGTTGTGTGCTAAATCGCACTCTTCTGATGGTGATTCACCGGGGGAATGTGCATTGCATCCCCGCAATCACTTTCTTTTATTAAATTCTTTATCATGTAACCAGTATAAAAGCCCCTCTATTGTATCATTCTATATCGTTCAATAAACCAATGTAGCTTTTAAACAAGTTGGATGATGAATCTCGATGACAAATCACAATATTTTGGTTTAAAAAACGTGTATAACAACCGGCGAGAGCCACAATTGATGTATCTTTTTATTGTTTCATTTTAACTTTATCCTTTTTATCTTTTTCTTTGCTTACCAGTAAATGGTTTAATTACCCAAGTTTGAGATCTACACAAGGTGAGAGATTATTTGGAATATCTCAACTTGACACTTCTCGTCTTGTTATTGCAAAGGCTGAACAATAAAACCTTACTGAAACTGATAACTATTGATCTCAACTATTTCGTATTTATCTAAACGGAACAGACCGTTTACTCACCATTGGCCCACTATTCAATCCCCGAGATCCGTATAAATACCCCTCTCCCCCTTCTCCAAGGAAGTATTCCGTTTCCCATTCTGTTCTGTCCCTGTCTACATAGATGCTTACGTCAGAGATACAAAAGAATGAAACATCGATTCAACTATCAATATACATCATAATGTTTTCTTTTGCTATGATTAAATTTGTTTTATATTTACATTCGAAATATTATAACCTGAAAAAATTTTAAAAAAATCTAAACCTGGTCATGTGATATGCCTTCTCTTCTTGTGATATGCCTTCTTAAAGGAGGCCAGACACGAAAGTCTACGGAGTTTTCTTGGAACGAGATCATGTATTCTGACGGAAAATCGTGCGATTGCGACCAATGCGCGCTACTTGACGAGCATTTATTTTTTTTAGAATACACTAGATTTCTTCACTGTTTGGCAATTATTCCCTACTTTTTCTTGTTATTCGGTCATTCTATGATGCCGTCGCATGAAAAAAGAAAGAAAAACGAAAACGAACTAATGGGAATCGAACCCGCGATACGCGACTGATAGCCAAGCGTGCCCCCCCACTACACCACAAGGCCTTTGTCGTCTGCTGCCGGAAAAACGATTATGAAACGAGGAGTTGGCGCCGCTTCGAAGAACGGTCGCGTTCTTGCTTGTACAGTAACAAGGAGTTATGGTTTGGTGTCCATTGTTATTTTCTGACTGTACTATGTCATATATCAAAAAACTAGAATTTTGAAAATTTTCATGTCTGGCCTCCTTTAACTAACAGCTCCCAATAAAACAATCATATTCAAAATGTTCTACAATAAAGTTCTACTATAATTCTCAGTCTACTTCAACGTAATCCCCAAAAGTCCCGATTCCCACGAGTCGGCGTTAAATCTCGGCTCTTACCTTCTTATGTAAAACCTACTTCTACTCAATAAATCACTTATGCCCACAGAATGCTCTTATTATTTATTCTTTTTTTGTAAATATACATCCATTGTGGGGTGACTGTTCTTTTCTTTTCTTCACTTTTTATCCCATTTTCAAATTTTCTTCTCTTTCAAGCCCTGTCATATTTCCACCCTTCTTTAATATCTCGAATTTTTCGGCATTCCGAAATTCTCTGGTTAAGTAGAAAGTGATGAAAATTAATATTGTATTTATTATTTTTCAGATATACAAACACAAAAAAATAAAAAATTCAGATAAAAATTATTTTTTTAATAATTTCCAAAAAAAACTGATCATGATTATAAAAACACCCGTAGAAACTTTCGAAAAAATGAGAAAACGGAACAAATTGAAAATCCTAAATTTTCATAAAAATCTAAAATTAAATTAGTCCATCTCAGACGCCAAAACCTCCAGTCTCAATTTGTGACTTTTTGGAGAATCAGATGACGTCACGTTGACTTCCGAGGGAGCAACGACGTCTGCATCCACCACCACGTCATCTTGAAGATCTTCAAATGTCGTCGTGGGATTCAGAAAACTAGAAGACGTCGTTGGCTCATTTTCATCTAGATCCTGAAGTTCACATTCTTGGTAGAATTCTGTGGAATCTGGCGGCACAGTCACGTCTTCGGATTCTGAATTAAAATTTTTTTTTTTACTATGAACTTTGAAGTTCGGGGTTTTTTGAATAATTGGAAAAAAAGTTTAAAATTTCTCTTATTGCTTCCTTCTCTGGAATATTCTGAAAACCTTCAAAAACTCACGTAATCTGGATTCAGATCCTCCACGATGGGTGAGCGAGATGTCCGTCAGAGAATCCACGTCAGCTAACGGAGCCAACCGATTGGCGTCGAGGGTTACGAATCGCCTGGAAATATGGATTTTTGAGCGAATTTCGAAATTTCGAACAGAAGATCTAAAAAATGTTCTGAAATTCCTCTTTAAATTCAAAATCAAAACTATTAAATATCAAGAAAATTTTGATAATTCCGAAAATTCCAAAAACAGTTCAAATATCAATATTTTAATTTAAAAAATTAAAAATTTATTAAATTTTAGATAATCAAAGTTTCTGATTTTTGTTATTGTACCATCTGAGTATTCCAAAATTCTAAAATTCAATTTATAGGAAATTTCCAAAATTGAAAAATTGAAACTTATTTTTTCCAATTTTCTGAAAAAAAAGTAGCCAAAAGTGAAAATTCGAAAAATTGGGAGCTTCCAAAATCCCAACAAAACTCAACATTTGGAAAAACGGAATTTCCGAATTTTCTTCTTTTTTTTTTTGGATTTTTCAATATTGGAATAACTAAAATTGTCAAATTTTTCTTTAAAGGTGGGGGGACAGGAGATTTTACGGGGGATTTTTGTATCTAGAGTATGCATTCTACCGTGACGGTGTACAACGCTTAACGCCACTCTGCGTACAGCTGTCGTCCTTGTCTTTATGAATGCAATCGGGCGACCGCTTTCTCTTTGCCCGTGTAGCTCAGTCGGTAGCGGCGCCGCCCCCTCAATCCTCGCCCCACACGTTCAACTCCTCGAGGGGAATATTCAAACGAAATTTCGAGAACATTATTTTTTTCATGTCCCCCCACCTTTAAAAAAACAAACCTTCCACCCCCAAAATACGGTTCCTTATCCTCATCATCATCCTGAATAAAAACATCATTATGCTCCGCCTTCTCCTCTTCTTCCGAAATCAATCTTCGCCGTTTTTGTAAAATTGATTCTTCAGTGATAATTTGTGCATGCTTATCACGAGATTCCAGTGTAACCACACAAGCGATTATCAGAATGAATGAACCGATTCCCATTAGAATCGGACCGAGGTACTGTAATCAGGATGGTAATTAGTGGGAAAAAATAATTGTTTGATTACGCACCTGCATACTTTTCAATTGGTACTGTATCATTCTATCGTGAGTCACTTGTTCGGTTCCGTCGATGATTTCGGTTTTCTGGAAGTTTTTTTCAAATTTGTACGGTTCCGTCAATTTTCTCAAATTCTCGGGTCTATTTTCATACTTTTTGGACAACTCTTTTTGACAAAAAAAGCTACCGTAAACACTCTAAAAGAAGGGTTTCAACTTTGAGCTTATTTATCTCGGACCCTGTAATAGATGTCAAAAAGTGGTGAACTGATAAAATGCTTATCATTATACCACAAATATTTTGTCAGTTGATCACTCTTCAATATCTGTTACAAGGACCGAAATATATGGGCTCCAAGTAGAATATCCCCGTTTTCCGGTTAAAAACGTTCGGGTGGTCTTATTTTAGAGTTAAAAATTGTTACTTACCTCCGAAAAATACTTGTCAAAATATCCTAAAACTGTCATTGCTAGGCCCACAACTATGATGATACATCCGAAGATCACTGCTCGACAAGCGGCCCATACTGTCTGAAAATTTGAAAAAAAAGATTATAGAATTTGGAGGGAAATTCGAAACTTTGATTTTTTTTCAGTTTATTGGTGACCCAGTTTTTTTAAAATGTTTGGAAATTTTTACTATATTCCTTATCAAAGTTATAAATTCCTTCAAACTTGAAAAATTTCCAAATTTGGAATTTCAAATTGATTCCTGAAAATCAGAATCAAATAAAATTTGAGGGTCTATTTTTCAAAATGATTATTTTTCTTCAATTTTGGTCTTTTTCATATTTTTTAATGAATTTTGAAAAACTGAAATTTTCAAATGTGTGATTTTTTATCATTTTTTAAACAAATTCCCGAATTGCTCATATAGAACTATTTAGAATTTCAAAGTTTCAGTGTTTAAGATTCAGATTTTCAAACCTTTCTGAAATTTTGATTTTTTAAACATTTTGACTTTTCGATATATACCGTAAAACCTCTAATAGAACGACACCCGGATCGTCCACTTTGAGCCTATATATCTCATTTTCTGTGAAAGATATCAAAAAGTGGCTAACTAGTAAAATTTTGCTGATATC